TTTTCAGGGTGGCAGCGTCTGATCAGCCCGTGCTGGTGCCCTCCCCTTGGCCAGGTGTGGGCGGAGCCTCCCTGACGGTCTCAGCACCCCGGTCTGTGTTCATCAGAAGGCGTGGTTATTGCGGGAACACCCGTGAAGCCTGGTGTTCTGGCCACAAGGAAAGGAAATGGATGCCAAGGAGGCAGACCCAACAGATGGAGGCACCAGGAGGGTGGACTTGGGTCCGGAGCCAGGGTCTGAGCTGGGAAGGAGACGTGGCACCTGGGACTGGTGCCCACAGGCCAGGCACCATGTGGGCGAGGGCTGGCCTGTCCCCAGGAGGGGCTGAGGTGACCCCCACGGCCAGCCAGCACATGGTGCTCTCCTCACACCCTGGGCACTGCTGGTCACACTTCCGGAGTCTGCCCGCGTCCCCTGGAGGCTGTGGTCTGGGGAACGCCAGCATCAGGGCCCAGCTGGGCTGGTGGACAGGAACGGAGCCTGGGACTCAGATCCACCTGTGCTCAAGTCCCACTCAGCCAGGTACTCATCGAGGGAGCTGGGCTCCCGCCTTTCTCTGCGAGCATTCATCTTCTCATCTGAACGATGGGAGGGCTGAGGGGTGAGCGAGCGGGGCCAGGCCCAGGGGCTTCTCCCTGCTCCTCCCTCCCGCTCATTCTCCCACTGGGAAGCCCGCATGTCAGCCGCATCCCCCCATGCCACTCTAATCTCAGGCTCCTCTGCTCTCACCTGTGCTGCTGAGTCACTTGAACACCATGCACCTTGACCGAGCACCCACTATGTATGGGCCGGGGGCGGGGGGGCGGGCGGACCCTGGAGTGCAGCAGTGAGCGAGCCAGGCCCCTCCTAGAGGACATGCAGCACAGGGAGACCCAGGCCAGCATGAGGCCTGGGGACTGGGAGGCCACAAGGCGGACAGGTCCAGTGTGTGCCAAGGCCTGGTGAGTGGCTCGTCCTGGGCAAGAGGCCCTCACCTGGACAGGTCAGAGAGCAGCCTTCGCAGTTCCAGCTGCAGAGAGTGGCTTGGCCACTCTTGGTTGTATGCCAGCACAAGGCACTTGTGCCCCCTCAGTGGCCTCGACCCGGGGTGGACATGCCCCTGACCCACCACCCACTGCCGCCCTGGGATCTGTCCAGGTGTCCCTGGGGCCTGTCGTGCCTGAGGCTTTGTGTGATGACTGAACTGGAAGGAATGACACTGAATCACAGCAACGGGGACAGCAGGGTGGCGGGAGGCCCAGCAGTGACACCTTTTTCAGTGCTGCAGCCTGATCGCATTGGTGGTTTAACAGTCTTGTTCGTGTCACGGGGGTAAAGGGGAAGCCTGCTGGGGTCATACCGTGCACGCATCTGCTCACACACGCGGAGCCCCATGCCCCCAGCACAGCAGAAAGAGCGAGAACTTGAAACTGCTCTTCAGAGGGCACAGGCAGAGCTGCCTGCTGGTCCCCCCCAGTGTCCCCAGCTGTGGTGAGCCCCTCGGGCTCGGACCCCGTCTATGCCAGCCCCGGCCCCCAGCCCACCACGCATGTACACCATGCAGGCTATGTTAAAAAAAAAACACGGATTGGAAGGCTTACTGGTGATTTCAAGGACTTTCAAGGGAAATTGTGATGATAAACAATTTCCCCATCATCACTGGCTTTAAAAAAATAATTGTAAAATACACATAACATAAAATCTACCATTTTAGCCCTTTTTAAGCCATTTTTAAGGGGACAGTTCAGTGGTATTAAATGCAACCGTATTGTTGAGCAGCCATCCCCCTGACCCTTTACAGCTTGCGAAACTGGAATTCTGTCCCTGTTAAACATGAACTCTCCCCCTCCCCCCAGCCTCTGGCAGCCACCATCCTCTGTCTACGAATGTGACTATTCTAGCACCTCCTGTAAGTGCAGTCACACAGTATTTGTCCTTCTGGGGCTGGCCGGTCTCCTTTAGCGTACTCCCCTCAAGCTTCACCCACCGTCAAGCCTACGTCAGCATTCCCTTCTTCTTTACAGCTGAATAATATTCCATTGTAGGGGTAGCCCACATTTCGTTTATCCGTTCACCCAGCAACGGGCACTTGAGTTGCTTCATCATTGGCTTTTAAAAATTACCCCTGGACAGCCAAATCATGGCCGTTAAAAAAAAAAACAACAAAGACGTTCTGTCCTGCCATGGAAAGCTCTCCAAAATACATTGTTAGGGAAAAGAGCACAGGAGAATGTGCACGATGTGCTAATAAAGACAGAAAAGGGAGAATATTTCTTTGTCCTTACATAAAGGAGCTCTGAAAGATAGGAGACTAATAAAGAAGTTCCTTATGGGATGGGGGCGTATGGGGGGCTCTAACTTCACGTGGCTGTGTTTTTGCACAACGGGCATGCGATGACCCCACCACCCTGCACTCTCCCTGATCCCCTGCTTGGTCGATCATTACTATCTGTCCAGGATGCACAGCCTGGCTCCTGCCACCTAAGCACACACTCCCATGATCACAGCATGTTGCCCATCCCCCACCCCCACCCCGCAGCCACCCACAGCTTGGCTGAGCTTCTGCACACGCTGAGACCCTTGGCCGCACAAGTGTCTAGGTAGACTGCCTCCTGCCCTCAGTCCTCCACACAGACCACAGCACCCCTCCTCCAGCTGGAGCCCCTGTGCCTCCAGGGGTCCTCACATGGAGGCCAGGGAGGGGCTCCCACAGCCCCATGCTAGCCAGCACACCTGCAGGAAGGGGCAGGAAGATGGGCGGGCCACCACCGCAACTCTGACTGCACCTACCCTCTCTCCTCGCCTGGGCACCCCCTGCAAAGCACCTGCCTCGGTGACACAGTCTGTCTGCACATGTCAGCCTGCTTGTTGTCTGCATCCCACCACCAGCTCCAAGAGATCCCTCTCGGCCCACAGTACCTTGAACGGAGCCAGTAGTCACTCCTTGCAATAGCCCAGGGAGGGAGGTACCCAGAGACTGCAACAGGAGGACATCCACAGAGACCCAGCCCCGGACCCAGCTGGGGACCGCGTGGGTGGCTGGAGACCAGAGAGGGGTGACACCGGCAGCCTGCCCGCTCTTCGGGCATCCCTGTGGATGGTGATGGTTCTGGTCCCCAGCCTCACTCCAGCCTCCAGCATGAACCTGTTGCTCCAGAGCAGAGCTGAGTCTGAGCCCACCTCCCTCCCCATGTGCCCAGCATCCCGCATCCAGATCCCAGTGGCAGGCCAGGCCTGGAGGCGTTCTGGAGGCCTCCCAGTTCATCTCTTGAAGCGGTAGCATCCTGGCCTCCCCAGAGAGGCTTCTCCCACACTGTCTGGTAGACCACCCTGCCCTGCAGAGAGGTTTCCAGAATCACCTCCACCCAAGCTACTGGCTCATCTTTGAGAAAATCCACCTAGGATCTGGGGCAGCCCAAATGCCACAGAGAGAAGGTGCCCAGCGTCCAGCAGGAGAGACCATACTTTGGCAGCCTCGCGTGTATTCTGTCTTGTGGTATTAGGCTCAGACTCTGCGCCCTGGGCATGAGGCAGAGCTGGCGTCCCCCCACAACCAGAGTTGCCCACCCCTCCCCAATGCGCACAGGCAGCCCCCCGCGTGCCCACATGCATGGCAGCCTCCCCACCAGGTTGGCAGAGGGTGCTTTGGTGACACTGTACAGTTTCATCAGTTGAGAATTGAACACTTCCAGCTTTGCCGGGAAGGGGAAATAGAGTTGCCACCATCCCTGGGGCCAGGGCGGCTCAGGCTGCGGTCCACACCGGTTCCCATGCCGCCCCCCCCATGCTGTGACCCGGTCCCTGTACACCCTCAGGACGGCCCTCCTGGGGACCCCCTCCAATCCCCAACATCAGCTCTGACTCTGCACATCCCCATCTCTACTTTGAGAGCCAGGGCACCCAGGGGTCAGAAAAGACAGAAATGGCCCGGGTCCCAGTCCCTGTCTGCCATGGGGTGGCACAGGCAGAGTGAGCGGGGTGATGGGGAGACCCTGTCCCCTGGAAGGTCCCTGTAGTGAGCCTGCGGGACTCCACGGTTAAGAATGTGGGGGTGACTTCAATGTCATGGGGAATGCTGGTTAGACGGACACGGGCTTAGCCAGGACTCACTGCCATGAGTGTCCTGAAGGCTTAGTTCTGGAAGACTTGCCCTTGGGGATATGTGGAAGAACCGGGGAGAGGAGACACAGGTCCACGGCCCATGCTTGGAGGCGCACCTGCTGTGGGCCAGACCCTTGACTCGGTGCTGCCCCGAGCGTGTGCCCCGAGCCCCGCCTAGAGGAGATTTGGGTGGAGAAGTCAGAATACAAACAGCCATAGGGGGCCTTCCTTTGCACCCGGCACCCAGCCTGGGGAGGAGGGTCACTGTAGGGAAGAAGGGAAGGTTTCACCGAGGAGGAGGCATTTTAGCCATGTCCAGAGGGATGAGGGGTGAACACAGTGGGAGAGCCTTCCCGTGGGGAAAACAGCTGGATGGGTCAGTGAGTCAGAATCTCACAGAGCCTGGAATATCAGGCTACTGAGAGACCCTTGAGAGAACCCCAACTCACACAGCTTCCTGCAAGGCCTCACCCGAAGAACTCAGGAATGGGCCCACTTCCCTGGCGCTTGGTGAGCCACGATGGTCCCAGCGGGGGGGCGGGGAGGAGAGCTTCTGAGCACCGCAGATGTTCTGGGATCCCACCTGAGCCCTCCAGTTTGGATCAGGCCCATCCCTGAACTAATAGTCTTTGTGGCCACAGGCAGAGGCAATATGCGAATTGCGGTCTAAGCCGTGTCAAAAATAACCTTGCCTGGGGGTAGGAGCGGAAAGAGTCAGTCCCTAAGTGGCTTGGACCAAGAGTGGAGGAGGGTTGGTTCCTGAGGGATGCTGTGCTGGGGGGTAGGGATCCCTGGCAGCCCTCCCAGGAAGTGATGGGCACCGAAGTTCCTGGACGAGGCAGGGCCCACCCAGCCAGGCGCCCAGAGGACCGACGGGCCCCAGCCCAGGTGTGCCTCAACTACTCCTTTTACTGCAGATAGGCATGCCCCGGACACTGAGCGCCTCCGACATGGTCACCCCCGGCAGCCCTGGTACACCCCCCGCCGAGCCCACGGATGGCGAGCAGGCCGGGCAGCCCCTCCTGGATGGGGCTCCCTCGTCAGCCTCCCTGGACACCCTGATCCAGCACCTGGTGCCCACGACTGACTACTACCCCGAGGTGGGTGACCCACGCAGCGGGGAGGAGGGGCATCAGAGTGGGCTCTCTTCCCCCACGCATGGGGGACACACTAGGGCTGGGGCTGGTCTTGGATCTGAGGGCACAGCCCTGCCATGCCTTTGTGAGCACATGCTGCTTTTCTCTGTGTCCCGCCAGAAAGCCTACATCTTCACCTTCCTCCTGAGCGCCCGCCTCTTCATCGAGCCCCGGGAGCTCCTGGCCCGCGTCTGCCACCTGTGCATTGAGCAACAGCAACTGGACCAGCCCGTGCTGGACAAGGTGAGGGCCAGGGCAGGGGGCCTCCCAGGACACAGGCACTCCCCTGACATGCCCTTATGCGTTGACCTCTTGGAGTGGCGGTCACTGTCCCCCATGCTCCTGAGCCGAAACCCACAGGGGCTTTCTGACTTGTCTGAGGCCCAGAGCTAGAAGGGACAGAGTTGGAACCTTTAACCAGGTGCTGTTTCCCACTGCCCTGTGGGAGGCCCTGAGCTCACAGCACGCCCAGACCCGGGCCCCCAGAGCCCCATCAGTAGGACTCTTGCCACCTGGGATGGCCCTGCGGCATCTGCTGGGCTTTCTGCCCTCAGCACACTCCGTCCCATCCTCCCCCTGTGGGGTCTGCTGATGGCTTAGCCTTCCTCCGTCCCCGGCCAGATCCCGCGGGCTGTGACTATTTATAGGTGTGTCCATCGGGCTCTGGTGCTATAGTGATAGAAGCCCAACTACAACTGGCCTAAGACAAAGGGACTTGCTGGCTCATGCAACTGCGATGTCTCAAGTACCACTGGCTCCCGGGGCTCCAATGACCCCCATGGAAACGAGTTCTTTCTCCCTCCGACCCTCTGCTCCGTTTTCCTCGGGGCCAGCCCCACCCACACTCAGGCAGGGTCTCCCTGCCCAGTGACAGGTGGCCTTTGCCACTCCAGGCTCGCCATCTACTCTTCCCAATTCCAGTGGAAACAGCGAGCGGCGCTCTAAATGGGTCCCAAGGAAAGTCCCAATCTCATTGGCTTAGCTTAGGCGACAGGCCCATCTGTGAGCCAATCAGTGTGCATGATGGGGCTGTACCACGTTCTCATTGGCCAGCACTGATCTGGGCCCCTGCCAGGGGGCCTGAGGCGAGGTAAGCTGCCTCTGAACCCCAAGGGCGAGGAATGAGGGAGACGGAAACCCCCAAAGCAAACTGAGATGTTATCACCACAGAGAGGGAGGTAGGATGCCCAACAGGCAAAAACAACAGAGGATCCTGCGCCACACGTGTGTCTGTCCCCCTCTGTTCCCCTGTGGTCAGCCCCCATCCCTATCACTTGACACAGGGAAGGCACGAGGCACACCACCCTTGGCCACCAGGGGCGCTGCCGGGGTAGCTCGACCCCAGCAGAGCATGCGCAGTGCGTGGCTGATGCAGCGGCTGATGGGGCTCCTTCACCTTGTGCAGACGCTCCTTGGTTTGCCTTGCAGGCCCGGGTCCGGAAGTTTGGCCCCAAACTGCTCCAGCTGTTGGCCGAATGGACGGAGACATTCCCGCGGGACTTCCAGGAGGAGTCGACCATCGGGCACCTGAAGGACGTGATGGGCCGCATTGCCCCCTGTGACGAGGTAGGCAAGCCGAACCCAAGTCCTACGCCCTGTCTGCACCCTTACACCCGGGACCTGAGCCTGTTCCTGGGGCCAACCTCAGGGCCCTCATCCCCCCATATGTACACTGCAGCCCCTCTAAAATCAGCCCCTTTCTGCCCCATCGGGAAATCAGGCCCTGCAGAGCTGGCCGGGAAACCAGGCCTCTGGTTCCAGGTCCGGTCTCTTGACCTCTCTCCTGTCTTGCGTTCATATACGGCATCAGATGGCAGGTGAGGAAAGACCCCCTCACGGTCAGTGACCCATTAGGCTGGCCTGGAGGGCCCTGGTTGGGGCAGAGGAGGAAGGAGGGCCCCCTGTGGCTAAAACCACATCCCAAGGTAAAGGCAGCCCTTGTGGCTTGGAAGGCAGCCAGTGGGGTGGGCATCAGGCACCCCACACCCTGCCCTGTTCTCCCAGCTTCATTATTCTGGGGAAGACACTTAAAGGTAAAAGGGGGACAGAAATCCCCACCTCTCAGGATTAGGGTCAGAATACAGAGAAGGACCCTGCAAAGGGGAGGGAGGTCTCCTGGTACACTTGGAAGGGGCAGGCTCATCGGAATCTCCAGAGTGATTCTGTGGCCAGCATGCTGCTGCTTTCCCTAGGAGAGAACGTTGGGGGGAATGCGGGTCAGTTGCCCTGGGAGGAGACTGCATGTGGCAAGCTGGTAGCTAGTCATGTGCCTCGAAGTGGGTCTGGACATGGCAGAGCCCAGTGCTTGTGAAACCAGTGAAAACCGCCAAGGCAGAATGGGCAATAGGGAGCCATAAAGCAGAGAGGGAGACCTTGCCTGTGGGCCGCGTCACATGGCAGACAAGTGACTTAGCCACTCTGAGGGCTCGGTGAGATGAGAGTCCTCTCCTCCTCCTCCTCTGCACCTCCTAATCCATCTGGGGATCCTGACACTTGGCTTAGGATGCAGCAGGAAGTGGGGTCAGAGAAGGCTCAACAATTGGATGAGTTAGGAGGGGTTGGTACAAGCTGGGAGGGAGATTCTGGCTGGCTTGATGGTTAGATAGTTGCTACCTTGGTGGATGGTGGAGGGGGTAAGATAGATGTTGGGTATTCTGATATGCAGATGGATTTTGAGTGTGAGTGAATGTGGACGGATTGATGGGTAGGTTGGGGGGTGGAAAGATGGATGTATGAGAGGATTTGAGGGTGGGTAGGTGGATGGATGAATGGATGGATGGATGGATGCAGTGGAGGGTATGCAGGGGGATGAGAGTCCAGTCTCCTGCTTCAGCCCCCTCTCCCGAGGAGGTCTTCAGCAGAATAAGATCTGAACCACTGACAAGACAGAATCATCCACCCTTGTCAGGCCTGCCTCTGCCATTGGTGCAGCCATTTCCAAGGCAGACCCTGTCCTTCCAGCTGCAGTGGGGGGATGGGTGTAAGTCCTGGGCTGGCTTCCTAGGGAAACAGGGCTTCCTCCCCTGAGAAGCTGTCAGGCCTGCCACCAGGGCTGTGCTGGGAAATCTTTTCTAACCACCCCGTGGATGAGAAATGAGTGAGGCCTAAGAATGGCTGTCGAGAGCAGCCATCCACCAGGTGTAGGTTTTGGGGGCAGACATAATTCACCTGAGACATTCTCATTCCTTGCCTTGGGATCCAATTAGGTGTGGTGAGCAGTGTGGGCTGAAATGGGGGTGCTTCCTTGTGTCTTTGAGATCCAGAGTTGCCCTTGCCCAGAGAGCAGCCGCTCCAAAGGGCATGGCCTCTGGGTGCTGCCTCCCCTCCCCTGGAGGCTGCAGGTGGACCATGGGTTGCTTCCCCTCCCAGCACAGAGCACAAGGGCTCGGCCCAGAAAGGAGCTGGCGACCCGTCTGACCAGGCAGGGCCACGGTAGGACTCAGAGCATAGGGTCTGGATCAGACCGCCTGAGCCCACTCAGACCCTGGCTCAGAAACCACAGCTGTGTGACCTCGGGCAAGGTGCTTCACCTCTCTGAGCTTCAGTCTCTTTATCAGCAAAACAGAGGATAATCGTCACCCACCACACAAGTTTGCAGTGAAGAGTCCCTGAAGTCACGTGTGTTCTTATTTCGGCACTTGGTGAACTATGACGGGGAACGAATTATTTCCAAAATTCAGGGGATGTGGGGCTTATTTTTAACTTGTATGGAGTTTTTATTGTGGAACATTTCAAGCATACACAAACACAGAGAATAACCGCCCTGAGCTCCCATGTATTCATCACCTAGGCTCGACAATTATCAACATTTTGCCAAATTCACTTCTTCTCTCCCTCCACCCATTTCCCCCTCCCTCCAAATTATTTTTAACCATTATACCTGTAGCTCCAAGAATATTTCAGCATTTTCCTGTAAAAGGTTTCTCACACAGGGACCGAATCAAATGATGTAAAGTGTGGTGCCCAAGTCAGTGAAATGAACACGACTGTTCTCAGAGCTGTGTGTCTTTGGGCCGGTTCCTTAACCTCTCTGAGCCCTCAATGTCTTTCTATAAAGAGGGAGGGTAATAAGGGCTGTGAGATAACAGTGTGGCTCAGGGAAGAAGAGGAAACAGCACAGGGCCAGGGCCAAGGGGGCTTCCCCATCAGAGGGCCGTGAAAGGGGACACTTCCTCTTACGTGCTGTTCCCTCTCCCGAACCCTCATGATGTCCCTGCACTGCCCGCCACCTCTCAGCATCTGGGAACAAAAGTCCAGAGAGGAGCGGGAAAGGCCCTTCTCCATGACTGCACGTGGCCACTGCATCAAGATACGTGCTTGGGGCCAGCTCGTGCTAGCCAGGGGACCCTGCCTGGGAGGGGCTACCCGTAGGCTGGACTCAGCAGTTTTGGCTCAGGAAGGCCAGTGCTGAGGCTGAGGGGGAAGCCAGGGGAGGCCCAGAGGCCACAGCTCCAGTAAAGGAGAGAGGACGGGACACGTGTGCCCTGGCCACACCCGCCGGGGCGGCTGCAGAGGAAGCTGATGCCACGGGCCCTCCCGGGGGTGGCCTTGCTTTCCCATTCCCATGACTATCTGCTGGGCTCACCCTGCTGCCCTCAGAGGCTCCCCCCACCGCCACCCCCCACCCATGGGGGCAGGGAGTGGAAAGCTAACACAGAGAAAAAACTGGTGGCAGGTGCAGAGCCCCTGCCTCTGCAGGGTGGGCTGAGCCCATTGCAAGTCACCCTGGGCTGGCTCAGGTGGGATTTTTCAAGAAGTCTGAAGAACAGAGGCCCCTGACTGTCCAGTCAGAGATGAGTTCTAACCATGAATGGCCAGGAGGCACCTGGAGAGCCACAACCTTCACCCTTGGACGACCTCTGTACTTAAAACCCGGGTCCATGTACACGGCAGGTGGCTCCGTGGAAATGGATGGCATCGGGCAGGCTATGAGGGGTGGAGCCCTCCGTGCTTGGAATGTGCCTTCCTGACAGGGACAAGGGACAGCCTCAACATTCTCAGAGCTGGGTCTCTGGGTCTGCTCAGACGTACCTATGTACAAGGGTGTAGGAATCATGAGAGAAGAACCAGCACACACCATCCCCCTATTCAGAGGGGTGCAGAAGATTCGGGAAAGAACCAACAGATGAACTTGAGGTTAACACCGCTGGGTGAATTCTAAAGGAATTAGCAAGCAGAAAAGGATCATCACTGGGAGCGAATATATTGGTTCAGTAGAAACAAGTCTTGAGAAATCATCTGCATATTTTATAAAATAGCATAAGCCCGTGGTTCTATCAAACTCTAGGCACAGACACGCTGAGCCCTTGGCCTCAGGAGGGCTCCGCAGTCTACACCGGCGAGGCTGACCAGCAGCTAGAAGCAGGTGAAGGCCATGTTCCTCCAGTCGGCACATGTGTGTGAGCCCCTCCCAAGTCCTTCATGCTGGGGACGAGCAAAGAGTGATCCGGTGTAATCTTCGTGGAGCTGGTAGTGCAGAGAGAGGAGATGCACAATCCCCCGATTGAGGCTTGGCCAAGGGTGTGAAGGAAGCCCGGTGCTCTGAGGTCACAAGCATGAGAAGAACGTGCAGGAGAGAGAAGGCTGCACAGGCCCTCCTGGGATCTCGGGGTGAGGGGTGGGGAAGAGGCCAAAGGGGTGAAGGAGGGGGACAGGGGCCATGTGGAGGCCATCAAGTGTAGCCAGAGCTGACCTCAGGACCCTCAAGCCCCGCGGGGCTTCTGTCTTTGCAAAGGCACTGGGGCATTTTAAAGAAGGGGGATGCAGAGGTTAGACGTGCATTTTCAACAGACTGCAGAGTGGAGTGGAGAGAGGCCGGCGTGGATGCAGGGGGGCCCTCCAAGGACCTGCAGCACAGAGACAAAGCATGGAAATCGCAGAAAGCAGAATCGGTGATGGCCAGGAGGGGTGTGCGGGAGAGGGGGGCTTGAGGATGGCCGCTGGCCTGTGCGCAGGACACAGGTGCTCCAGTGGCTGAGACAGGGATGTGGACAGAGAAGGCAGCTCTGGGCAAGGGGGGCGAGACGGCCACTCACACACATTGGGTCGAGGTGGCCCCTTGGCCATGTGGCTTTGCAGATCCGAGAAGAAGCTGCATGTGTAAGATGGATGTTGTCCACACAAACACTGAGTGACACTCTGGACAGGACCCAGCTTACCCAGGACCAAGGGACAGACTGAAGGGGAAGAGGGGGCCAGAGGAGATGGGAGGGATCTCCAGCACCCAGCACGGAAGGACGGTGCGGACGAGCCTGCCAAGAGCCCGAGGCAGGAGGAACCGGAGACAGACCCAGCCTGAGACATGGCCCCGGGCTTTCCTGACAGGCTGAGTGAGGAGAGAGATGGGGGGGCCGGTGCAGGTGTCAGAGCTCACAGGATGGACCCAGCTCCCTAGTTTCCCAGCATGCAAGTGAAGACCTGACTGGCAGCGTGCCGACCACACTCTTGGACCCCACAGAGCTGAGAGGGGCTGTTCCTTCTGCAGGCAATGGACGGAAGAGTTGGACCTCAGTTTACCCACATACCGTCCTGCTCAGCAGTGGGCTTGGCCCCACGGCTCTGGGAGCAAGAGCTAGGGTTCGGGTTTGGGTAGGATTAGCAGTCTCCTGTCCTGATTCCCGTGTCCTGAGGCCTCTGCCCATGGCCACTTGAGAGAATAGCACTTCTTTGAGCGGCAGGTGGATGCCGACTCGGTCACCAGAGCTCTGGGCACCAACAATGCTGGACCTCAACAGCCCCCAGGAGCCCTGTCAGACTTAAGGAAGTGTGAAGCCTCCTGTGCACACTCGGCCTAGCTAGCCAGATGCCCCACCTGCAAAATGCTGCTGGATCTGTGTGTTTCAAAGTAGCATGAAGAGAGCACACATCTTCTATCTGACTACTGACCACCCACCATCCTCCCAGGCCTCTGGGCCCGCAGGCACCCCACCCGCCTGCCTGATGGCTCATTGTTGCCTGGACGCCAGGTCCCAGACACCCACCCCTGCTCCGGGGCCAGCTCCCTCGGCTTGTGGGGCCTGAATCACCTTGGGGGGGGGTGGGCATCATGACCTTTCTTCCCTGCACCCCATCCAGGGCAGCCCAAAGCAAGCATGCGTCTGTCTGAGCTGTGCAGTGAGACACTTTATCCATGTGCCCAGGGTGGGGACAGGGACGGGCACTGCCCGCCATCGCTCACACCCCGGCCGGCCCAGAGCCTCAGATGCTAGACACGCTCAGGCATGCGCTCCTCTCTTTCTTGTCCCTCCAGGCATACCGAAAGAGGATGCACCAGCTCCTGCAGGCTCTGCACCAGAAGCTGGCCGCTCAAGGCCAGGGCCCGGAAGGCCTGCTCGGTGCCGACAAGCCCATCTCCTACAGGACCAAGCCGCCGGCCTCCATCCACCGGGAGCTCCTCGGCGTCTGCAGTGACCCCTACACTCTGGCCCAGCAGCTGACCCACGTGGAGCTGGTGAGCAGGCCTGTGCCATCCTCTAGCCAGACCCAGAGCCGGGGAACAACTGAGAACCGGCCATCCCCGGCCCCCCGCCTTGTGTCTGCATCACCCAGGGCTCGAGCTTGTCCCAGCAGGGCCAGCCGGGCACCTCCAGGACGCCCTGGCTCTGGAACAGTCTCTCGCCATTCCAGCGGGAGGGCTGGACATGCTAGGCCTGCCCGGCTTGGACCCCTTGGCCTGCCTGAGAGTCTGGGCCCGGGACAGAGGAACTGGGTTCAAATGCTGGCTCTGGCACCACCTGCCGTGTGAGCTTCCTGCCACTAGTGCCTTCCCTGCCAGGGCCTCAGTTTCCCCATCCAGGACTCACAGACACACTGCATCCACCATAGCCTTCCAGAGAAGTGCAGGTAGGCCTTCCTGCGTGTGAAGGGGACACCCCAGCCTAGCCTCCAGCATGTTGGGTTCCTTGTAGATGCAGAGGGGCCAAGGGGCTGCCCCAGAGAGACGGGAGGTGGGGGAGTAGGTTTCTTCTCTTTTAAATCCTCCCCCATTTATGGCTCCCTTACTTTCTGGCACTATACTCAGAACTTAATGTGCACCATCTCATTCCATCTTCCCACACCCAGCCAGGGAGGTGCTATTATGATTCCCTTTGCACCAATGAGGAAACTAAGGTCCAGAGAGGCTAAGAGACTTGCCTGAAGTCACACAGCAGAAAGAACAGAGCCAGAATTTGATTCTGACTCAGACCTCCCCCGGAGGGAGCAGGTCATTTCAATGACCCAGTTTTGAGCCTGGTTTCCTGGGTATAACCCCTCCCAAGCACACCCTGTGGGGACCTTGCCTCCTGCCCCCCATGAACTTCGGCAGCCCCTGGGCATGGGAAAAGAGGGGTGCCTCCTTCAGGATGGTTTCAAGCTCTGTGACAACCCAGAATGGGGGTGTGGAGCCCTAGTGAGAAGGGCAGGTGTCCAGAGACCGTCCTGAGAGGCAGGGAGCCCGCAGGAGCACCATGCCAGGCCCCGGGTGGGCACTGGCCCTGCCCGGCACCTGCCCCCTTTCCCAACTCCTCTTCTCCCTTCTGGTGCAGGAACGGCTGCGGCACATCGGGCCTGAGGAGTTTGTCCAGGCTTTTGTGAACAAGGACCCTTTGGCCAGCACAAAGGTAGAAGGCCCTTGGACAGGCTGTCCCATCCGCGACCCCCGCCCACTGGCCCCTCTGGGGAATTCGGAGGGGCCCGGAGCAGAGCAGATGGGCTTTCAGGGGCTGCGTCCACCCCGTACCCCTCCAGCCCAACAGCCCCGAGTCCTGGGGAAGCCGGCCGGCCACCCACCCAGCGAGGGCGGAGGGCGGGGCTGGGCGCGGAACAGAGGACCGGGGTGCGGAGGAGAGCGGAGCGCGCCCCAGGCGCTCTCCAAACCCCCAAGCTCTCCCAGCGCGTTTCGGTGGGCGCTGGTGCCCTCCAGCGGCCACCCGGGGTAGCGCGCGCGCTACTGCGCGCCGCCCAGGAAAGCTAAGGACGCGCTCTTCCCCCTAACTGGTGCAGTGGCCCCCGGGCCACGGACTGTGGACCGGTCCACACACGGAATTTCGGGTTTGTCCCTCCTCTGTTAGAGCCCAACCAGTAGGGTGCCTGGTGCTTATCAGCCGGGTGCAATTCAAATCAGAACTGGAAACATTGTTGTCTTCTGCCCTCTGGCGTAATGAAATAAGAGCAACTAAATATGAGTGCGTTTTCACCTCTCGGATAAGCCAAGATAAAGCATCGTGGGTGTATAGGGAGAGACACACTTTCATACACGGCTGGTGGGGGGGATTGGCACGGCGGCTTTGGGGGGTGCAGTTCACAATAGTATCAACGCTTGAAATGTATACCCTTGACCTCAACTTTACCTGCCTAATAATTTATCCTGGGGATATACACACTCGTGTACACAAAGATGTATACATAGAGATATTTAGGATATACTGTGGCTATTATGGCCAAACGCTGGAAGCAACCTACCTTATCACCCACGGGGACTCAATTACAAATTACAGTACGTCCACACATGGAATGCTATGCATCTATTACAAAGAATAAGAGAGGCTAAAAAGTAGAGAATAATCACCCAGATCCATTATAGAGAGAAAAAAAAAAATCTAGAGCGAAGAGCAGTGATGAAGAGGATATGGCCATTTGTGTAACAACAAAAGGAGGGAGCGTGATACCTGTTTGCACAACGCATGCGTGTAGGCAATCTCTAGGAATACTGAGTACTCTTGGGAGCCCTGGCTTGAGGGCGGGGGTTGGAGTGGCAAGGAGACTCGGCCACTCTCAGCAAGTTGTTCTTATGTTTGGTTTTGGTTTTTGGCCATCTCCAAGGATTACTTTTTTATTGTGAAGTACATCGGAGATGACCCGTGACCTCTTTTCACCCACTCTACGGTCGATGAACATTTGTGGTTGTTTCCAGCCTCTTGTTATTATAGATGCTGCTACTATGAATATTCTTATACGTTTCCATGTACATCGGTGTGTATTTTTCTAGGGCATCGGTTCTCAAATGATTTGGTCTCAGGACCTTTATACTCTTAAAAATTATCAAGGACCCCAAAGAACTTTTGGTTATGTAGATGGTATCTACCAACATCCATCATATTAGCCATTAAAACCATAACTTTTAAAGATATTTATTTATTCAAAATAGCAATAATAACCTATCACATGTTCACATTGGTAACATATTTTATGGAAATAACTAGATTTTCCAAAGTGAAAAAATTACTGGGAAGAGTGATACTGCTTTACTGTATTTTTACAAATCTCTTTAATGACCAATGTAACAAAAAGACAGCTGGATTCTCTTATCTGCTTCTGCATTCAATCTCTTGACATACATTATTTGGGTTGAAAAATCCAACCTCTCAGAAATATGTGGTTGGAAAAGAGAAGAGTATTTTACATTATTTTCGGATAAGTGAATATTTTTCTTTGATACTATGCTAAAACTCAGCAGGTGGTAGTGTTTTTTAAGATTAGTTGCAATTTGGAATCTGAAAATGTATCAGTGGACTTTCTGTACTCTGTTGCATTAAAATCTCTTGGTCCATCTTGCATCTTAATGGATCTTTTGCCCGTGTGTGATTTTATAACATCATACGTTGGTCATTTGGAAAATATGAGTTCTCTGAACCAGGCAGATCTTCCAAATGTTGGTGCATTTCATTATATGATATTTTAAAACCATATCCACTAATATCACTACTGATCTCACCCTTCCAAAAAAGCCCTTGGGTATTGGGACACTGTCAAGGTCACAGATGGGGATACATGTCTTATAAGTTCCCAATTCTCTCTTGAAACCTTGGATTTTATCAGTGACAACAAATACTATCAATTACTTCCTTGAAGTGACAGGCTCATTTTGTTGATTTTCAAGAAAAAACCAACTGGGGTGCCTGGTGGCTCAGTCGGTTAAGTGTCTGACTTCAGCTCAGGTCATGGTCTCAGGATCCTGGGATCGAGCCCCATGTCGAGCTCTGCGCTCAGCTCTCCCTCTGCCCCTCCCCCTGTTCGTGCTCACTCCCTCTCTCATATAAATAAATAATTTAAAAAATATATCAACCAAATACTGAAGTCTGAAAAAACCATAGTTGGTCAGTCCTTCTTTCGAGTAGAAATGGCGTTCCATGAGAAAAGTGGCCAGTTCTGCTTACAAGTCACACTAATGTTTTTCCTCAAACCTGACTTCTGTATGCCCCAGAAATGCTTTTGTGTACTGCTCAATCCCACAGAATACCAAAAAGATATGTGCACAAGATTGAGATTCGTTTTTTTAAGATTTTTATTTATTTATTTGCCAAAGAGAGAGAGAGAGCACAAGCAGGGGGAGTGGCAGGCGGAGGGAGAGGGAGAAGCGGGCTTCCCACTGAGCAGGGAGCCCGATGCGGGACTCGATCCCAGGACCCTGGGATCATGACCTGAGCTGAAGGCAGACGCTTGACCGACTGAGCCACCCAGGCATCCCAAGAATGAGGTTCAATAAAATTGAAAAGTTCACCTCCTTGAGGACGTACTGAAGTCACACTCCACATTTTTCTTTGACTAGGAACGTGTAATAGTGAAGAACACAATGACCACGAGTATGGTTTGGTGACTTCTGTTTGTTTGGGACTAAGGGGGGGGCAGTTTCACCCACTAGTCTTTCACACATCAGTGCAAATGTCAACACAATGAAAAGACAATGACATTGTATGAACACGAAACTAGTTGTGCCCTTGGAGAACTGTCACTCTACAATACACCCAGGAGGGAAATGACTGTGTCAGGGGCGGGGCTGGTGAGGCTGCCCACAAGGAAGTAATCTTGCTCTGCATCCTAAGTGACACTTGAAATCATCAGACTTCCAAATGTATCACACTGTTCAAGGGAGCATGTTCTCATGTGTTTTGGACATTCCTACTTTCTCTTCTATGAAATTCCTGTCACCCGGTTTCCTATTGGTGGTTTGGCTTTTTCTTAAGGATTTTAAAGAGGTTTTTTGGTAAGCTTTAAAAAAAAATATGTACTAGATGACTATCCTTTGTCAGGTGAACTGCAAATTTTCTCCTTTTTTTTTTTTTTTGCTTTTCATTCTCATTATTCTTTGGATGAGAAGGTGTTTTTAGTTTTAACCTAGTTGGAAAAAATTTTTTTAACCTAGTCAAATTTACTAACCTTTTCCTTTATTTTTTTTTAAATATTTCCTATATTTTTTATTTATTTTTTTTGCGGGGGGGGTTAAGAAATCCCTCCCTACTCCCTACCCAAGTCATAAAGATAATCTCTGATGTTTTCTTCGAGAAGTTTTAATATTTTGTCCTTCACATTTAAGCCTTGGATTTGAAATTCACTTTGTGGCTATGGCTTGAGGTGGAGATCCATGTTCATGGTTTTCCACACAAATAGCAGGTGTTCCTGCACCATTATTTATATATTGTCTTGCCTGCCTATATGCCCTGACAGTTCCATCACTGTCATATGCCAGGTTTGATCTACACGTGTAGATGTCTGTTCTGTCCACTGGTCAGTTTTCCTATCTCTGCATCAATATACATCGTCTTCATGATTATGCTTGTATACTTGGGTTTTTCCTCCCTACCTGGTGAAACAAACCCTCCTGTTCTTTAGGAGTGGTTTGGCCATTCTTGGCCCTTTTTTTTCTATTTGAAATCTTATAACCCTTGCCAAATTCAGTGAAAACCCTACTGGGATTTTTGTTAGAATATATGAAATATGGACCAATTTGGGAAGAATTTTCATCTTCATGATACCAAGTCCCCCAACCCATACAAATGGTGTGTCCTGCCATTTACTTAGATCTACGTCATAATACCTTTCTAATGTTTTATAACTATCTCCATAAAAATATTACAGATTTAGTTAGATTTTTCATTCTCATGATTCTTTGGATGTGAAGGTGTTTCTAATTTTAACCTAGTTGGGAAAAAAAAATTAACCTAGTTAAATTTACTAACCTTTTCCTTTATGTTTTTTTGGGGAGGTGCGGGATGCATATTTTTGCTATTATTTATGGCATCTTCTATTGTACTTATTTCTGAACTGCTTGTGTAGCTTAAGGAATGTCTTTCACTTTTGCATATCAACTTTGTATCTGATGATATTGTACGTTCTTCTTAATTCTAATAGTTTCTCTGTGTTCCTTGGTGTTTTTCATATAGACAGTTACATCATCTGGGAATAATGACAGTTTTGCTCCTTCCTTTCCAATCCTTATTCTTTTTTTAAAAGATTTTATTTATTTGAGAGAGACAGAGAGAGAAAGAGAGAGAGCACAAGCAGGGTGAGGGGCAGAAGGAGAGGCAGACTCCCCTGAGCAGGGAGCCTGATGCGGGGCTCGATCCCAGGACTCCGGGATGATGACCTGGGCTGAAGGCAGATGCTTAGCCAACTGAGTCACTCAGGCACCCCTCCAGTCCTTATTCTTTTTATTTCTAGGGTAGTCATACAAAGAATCCTCCACTGATATGAGATGGACATGAATGACAGATGGGTCCTGTTTTTTAATTCTCTGAAATGTTGGGATTACTAGTTATTGCAGAATAACCCCGCTAAGTCTGACCAATAGGATTTCTTTTTCTTGCTTATTGTGCTAACTAGCACCTCTGGCAAAACGTTAAATAGAAGTGTTGCTAGCAGGCATTCTTCTTTTGTCCTGATTTTAAACAGAATGCTTTTAACATGTCATAATAGAGTATGATGTTTGCTATGAGTTTTTTTTTTTTTTTAGATGCCCATCATCAGCTCAAGGAAGTCCCCTGGTCCTCCTTTGCTGAGAGTTCTTATCATAAATGGTTGTTGCATTTTATTGACTACTTTTTCTGGGTCTATTAACCTTATGTTCTCTTCCCTTTTAAACTGTTAAGTGATTACTTATCTTTTAAACTGTTAAGCGATTACTTATACAGTAGTCCCCCTCCTTATCCGTGGGGTATATGTTCCCAAATCCCCCAGTGGATGCCTGAAACCATGGATGGTACTGAACTCTGTATATACTACATTTTTTCCTATACACACATACTTATGATAAAGTTTATAAATCAGGCATGGTAAGAGATTAACAACAATAACTCATAAGCAAATAGAACAATTACAACAATATACTCTAATAAAAGTTATGTGTATGTGGCCTCTCTCTCTCAAAATATCTTATTACACTGTACTCACCCTTCTCCCTATGATGATAAGATGCCTATGGGATGAGATGAAGTGAGGTGAATGACATAGGCACCATGATGTAGCATTAGACTACCACTGATAATCTTACTTCTGGACCATGGTTGATGGCAGGTAATTGAAACCATGGACAACAAACCACAGATAAGGGGGGAACTATTGTATTCGTCGGTTTCTTTCTTTTTCATTGTCAAGCCAACCTTGCATTTCTGGGATAAATGAAACTGGGTCATGATCCTTATCTTTTTTGTACATCCTTAGGCTCAGTTTGCTCTTGTTTTGTTTAGAATTTCTGTAACTATATCATGCGATTGACTTGTCATTTTCCTTTCTGTCCCTGTTCTTGTCTCATCTTTGTTTTCTCTCTCCCTGCTCTCTGTTCTGTGTGAATGACCGAATTACTTGTTCCTGGACCGTTGGTAGAATTTGCCAGTGAAACCATCCGAGCCTGGTATTTCCTTTTAGGGAAGACTTTTATGTGCCCGTTCAAGATTTTCCTTGTTTTAGTAATTATAGGACTATTTAGGCTTTCTATTTCTTCTTTACTCTACTTTTTAATTTATATTTTTCCAGAAATTTGACTCAGTCCTATTTTCACATTTATAGACACAAAGTTATTCACAATACTCTCTAGTTATCTTTTCAGTTTTTTCACATTGATATTCACCTCTAATATTCTTTGTATTCACTTCTCTGTTTCTTCATCAATCTTGCTAAGCGTTCATCAGTTTTATTAGTCTTTTCAAATAAAGAGCTTCTGGCTTTGTTGATTCTATATGTTGCATCTTTCTTTACTATTTCATTTTTTTCTCTAATCTTTATTATTTCCCTCCATCTGCTTTCTTTGGATTCTTTCATTGTTATTCTTTTTCTAATTTTTTAAGTTGGATGTTCAGCCCGTTTTCATCCTTTCTTCCATCCTAATAAAAGTATAGTGCTCGTTTCAGCAGCACATTTACCATCCTAATAAAAGTATGAAAGACTATTCATTTATTTCTAAGTATATTTTTTATTTGCACCCTCAAACTTTTGTTTTTTGGTATTCTCATGATCATTTCCATGATGATTTCATCTTTGACCCATAGATTATTTTAAAATGTGTTTTTACATTTCTGACTATTTGAAAAGAATACACATTCTCATGATTGAGTGCAGGCAGGCTTCCATACTTGTCTGTTAATTCAACTATGTAAATTGTGTGCTGCTTAAATTTATATTTATACTGGTTTTTTAATCTCCACAGTCTATGAATTGCTGACCTTATGTTAAAATCTTCTACCATGGCAGTAAGATTTGATTTCTCCCTATAAAGGAGTTTACCTTTCTGACTATATTTGCCTCCATATTTTGAAGCTATGTTGTTAGGCACAGGCGAGTTTAGATTTGTGACATATTCACGATTAATCAAACCTTTTATCATGATGTTGTTCCCTTTGAATGTCCTCTGATGCTTTTTGCCTTAGAGTCTTTTTTTTTTTTTTTTGCCTTAAAATCTATTTTGTCAGGGTGCCTGGATGGCTCAGTCATTAGGTGTCTGCCTTCAGCTCAGGTCATGATCCCAGGGTCCTGGGATTGAGCCCCACATTGGGCTCCCTGTTCAGCGGGAAGCCTGCTTCTCCCTCTCCCACTCCCCCTGCTTGTGTTCCCTCTCTCGCTGTCTGTCTCTCTGTCAAATAAATAAATAAAATCTTTTAAAAAATCTATTTTGTCTAATATTAGTACAGCTATGTGATATTCATCATATATATTTTTCATTTTTTTCACCTATATCTTTGGGTTTGGGGTGTGCCTCTTAAAAATAGCAAGTAGCTGGAGTTTTAAAATTACAGCAGTTGTAATTACCGACTTACATGGATTCTGTGCATCCTTCGCTCGTCTTCCCATGCCTTCCCTGTTTTTTCTCCTCCTTACTTTACTTCTTTTGGATTAATAGATCCCTTGTTCCATCTTCCCCTCTACCTACTGAAGGTCACACTGTCCATTTCAACATGGATATTTAAATTACCTTAAGTTTAATCTTTTAAACTCTCATGCATTTTATGCAGTTGAATATTCTACATCAATTGAAAAATTATTCTACATCAGTTGAAAAATTATTCTACATCAATTGGAAAATACAGCAATTGAAAAATTTCCAAAGGATATTTTATGGCATATGAAAAAGTTCATAGGGAAAAACATGACTCCTGTCTAGGTGCAGCTTATCCAACCCATATTTTCTCCTTAGGGCACTTCACAGCCCTCGTGTGCTTAGGAACTACACTGCTGTGCTTGGAGCCGCTCTAAGCATGGGACTCACCATCACACTGAATAGACCACAAAAAAAGACAGTTGTTCACACAGTATGGGAGCTGAAACAAGAAGGCACGTTGTCACTTAGCTCAACCTCAGCTGGAAACACATGGGTGCTTTGGGTGACTCCAATTTTCTGCCACTCTGCACAGATCCATGAATGACAGTGAAAGAGACACGAGTAGTGATTTGGAGTTACAAATGCATTTTGAGGAAGCAGACAGATTCACAAATATAGAATCTATGAATAATGACAATCAACTATATGTGGGGGGTGTGTACTTACATATATATATCATATTAAATGACATCTTTGAATGTATAGAAAAAAGACTGGAAGGATACACATCAAATCATGGGTATTTGTGGACAGCATTTTTCAGATGATCTATAAGAATGATCAATGAACTGACCTCATGTTCCCAAAGTTATTGACAGAGAGGCTGAGTGTGGTCCTTGTGTCTTTCCTAGCCTTGTTTCAGTGACAAGACTAACAATCTGGAGGCTTACGTGAAATGGTTCAACAGACTGTGCTACCTCGTGGCAACTGAGATCTGCATGGTGGGTAGAAAGCTGGGGAGCATGACTGGCACGGCCAAAGGTGGCAGGGGCTGGGGAGAGCCCACCTGGGAGGGAACCAGAAGGGTACCTTGAGCCTGTCAGTATCCAAGCCCAGGATCAAGCTGGGCACCTCTCTGGGACAGCAGGTGTCACCCAGCTTGCCTGCAGTGACATTTCCCTCTGGGTAGAGCCTGGCACGGATCCACTGGACTCCGACATGGGGCATCAGAGACCACTTGCTGAAGGTGTGAGAGGCAGTTTGCTGCTCGGCCAGGTGGATCTGCTCCCTCCATCTGTGCCTGTCGGCCTTGGGTGCCCTGGCCTGCAGCCACACTGTGCTTGGCTCTCTCTGGATTTAGAGTAGAAATGACCCAACCTTTAAGAACTGGGAGGTTATACATGCAAAGCCCAGGTCTCCAACTTCTCCCAGAAAGCAGGAAGACTTGTCAACACTGGGCCAGAGGCACGTGTCACCAAGGCATGGTCCCTCCCTGTCTACCCTCTTCTCTTCCTTGGAGTGCAGGGAGCCTCCTCAAAACCCCCTCCCACCGTCAGGTGAAGCCCTGGGGCCATTTGTGTCGGGGAAAGATTGGAGGCAACACAGGTGCTGGGTGGAGCCCTCCGGGAGTAAATACTGAGACAGAAATTGGGATAAGAGAGAAAGGGGCAGAGGCAGGGCCACTCAGAAGGAGAAGCTGGTCTGCGATGCCTCAGCCTCGGGAGTGCTTCCGGCTGAGGGCCCACAGCGGGTGGAATGCTTGGCCTCTGTCCCCCTCCTTGCTCGGCCATCACTGTCACTGTGCAGGCTGCCCGGGAGGGACAGGAAGGACCTCAGGAGGGAGGCTTTCCTAAGGGGGTTTGGGCAGCACGTCTCACACTTCTTGGTAAAGACCACTGCTGCGCAGAAGTAAGCAAGCAAGATCTGTATGGGAAGAACGCAAGGCTTCCAGAGGCCCCACCTGCTTCCTGCATTTCCATCTCTGGCCTGGCAGCTCAGAGGGGGCTTTGCTTGGGCAAAGCTGGATTGAACCCTCCCGGGACTTGGGCAGTGCCTCAGTCCAGGACGGCCCAGGGGATGACCCAGTTTGTTTGGAGCCATCAGAGAAGTCACAGCCCCAAGCGTGTGGCCATAAGCTGGGGATGAGGTCATGCGGTCATTCAACAGAAAGCAAGGGAGGGGCTACTCCAGGGACAGGGCCTGGGTCAGTGTGTGGCCCCAGTGTGGGCAGAGCGAGCGTGGTGTGGGAGGACAGGCAAGGGAGCCAGACCAAGAGGGCGGATTGGTGTCTTGAGCACAGCAGCAGGCTCCTCTGCCCCATGGAGTCCTGCCAGGCCCCACCTGAGCCCTCCAGGGCGGTGGGCTTTGCTGGGCCTGCCCGGGATGCGCTGAGATCCTGAGCCCTCGGGCTGCTGACTGCCCCAGCATCAGGCATCTCGGCCATAAACAGGGCTGAGAGCATGTTGATGAGGGACTGGCCCCATGATGGGGTGGGGACGTGTTACCACTGAGGCTCAGGTGCTCTGTCCCCAGCCCGCCAAGAAGAAGCAGAGGGCCCAGGTGGTGGAGTTCTTCATCGATGTGGCCCGTGAGTGCTTCAACATTGGCAACTTCAACTCTCTGATGGCCATCATCTGTGAGTAGGCCAGTGGGCCCCGGGCCTCGCTGGGAGCGCCCCCAGAGAGGCTGGAGCGGGCACCCACGGCGGGTGGGCTACGAGCCAGGGTGCTCCTCGGAGCAGGGCGGGTGCTGCTGGGCCCGGAGGTCCTGGAGAGGTGCCCCCTTTGAGGCAAGCTTACCCTCCTCAGAGGGGCTTCATGAAGACTGGGCTGTGTATCCCCAGATCCAGGGAGAGCTGGGACCTAAAGCAGACCCTGGTCACTGTGTGGGGCCATTGTGGTGGGGAGTGGGGCAGGGGCCTGCACACACAGCTGCCAGGCTCCCTGGGACACAGTGTCCACCAGCACCCACCCACCTATCCACCATCCAGCCGTCTGCAGCGGGCTCAGCCTCGGTAAGGTGCAGCCACCCCCAGGCATCCTGCCCGAGGGAGTAAGCAGACTTTGTGGCCCGGAGATGCCCCCCCACCCCCCGCCCAGCTCGACCCTTCCTCTTGCAGCTGGCATGAACATGAGCCCCGTCTCCAGGCTGAAGAAGACCTGGGCCAAAGTGAAGACGGCCAAGTTTTTCATCCTCGAGGTGAGCAAGGCTGCTGGGCTGCCGGCTGGCCCTGGCCGACCCTGGGACACAGCTGTCCAAATGCCTCCCTATCTCCTTCTAGCACCAGATGGACCCAACAGGGAATTTCTGCAACTACAGGACAGCCCTGCGGGGGGCAGCCCATCGCTCCCTGACCGCCCACAGCAGCCGGGAGAAGGTAGGTCTGAGGTTTGCCTGGTCTTCAGAGCGCCTCCCTACTCCGTACCTTGGCCCCGGGTGGGCTGTAGCAGAGAGCCAGGATGCAGACTCCAAGGTCACCTGGTCCAGCCCCCTGCCCTTCTGCAGCATCTGTATAGACAGCCATGCTCCTTGCATGCCTCCAAAATGGGGAACTCACCACCTCACAGGACAGATCAGCCCATACTCACACAGCTTCCACTGGTAGGAAATGCTTCCTTATCGGACTGGGGTTGTCCTCTCTGGCTCTCTGGAGGGCCGTGCAGAGGGAGGCTGCTCCCTCTCTTTTTTTTTTTTTTAAGATTTTATTTATTTATTTATTTATTTATTTATTCATTCATTCATTCATTCATTCATTCATTCATTCATTGAGAGAGTGCGCGCAAGTGGGGAGGGACAGAGGGAGAGACAGAATCCCAAGCAGACTCCTCACTGAGCATGGAGTCCAACGTAGGGCTCAATCACACCACCTTGAGACCATGCCCTGAGCCAAAATCCAGTCGGATGCTCAACTAGCTGAACTACCCAGCTCCCCACCCCCCCCCCAGACTATTCCTTTAGCGCACCCCAGGCCTCTCCTGCTTCCAAAGTCAACAGCCCAGGCTCCAGTCCCCTCCCCACTTGGATCTCTTTGGTCCCTGAACAGTTTGATTTGTCAGATCAAATTGTTTCAGATCAAATGGTCTCTAAGTGCTCAGAGTCTTCCATCACCTTACTCCAAATGCAAGACCTTCACTGATGGGGCCTCAGATCACAGTCACGTTTTTGACACTGAGTGAACCAAGCTTCTCCCTCACTAAAACTGCCTTTTCACAGGCTCTGTTCTTCTACATTGCGGTGGGGGGGGGGGAGGTGCCTTCGCTGACCCTGATCGATTGTATTGGTCTCCCAAATTCTCCTGGTGGCCTCCCACACCAGAAACTGCGCCTCGGGATTGCAACAAGCCTCTGACTTAGGACCTATCACCAGCCTGGCAATTAGAGTGGTCATCTCCATGGGAAGAAACCACCAAGGCTTGCTGTGCCCTGTCTGCCTGGTCTCTGGGCAGGAATATTGGTGGAATTAGGTCTCTGCCATGGTTTGCGCAGGTCTGTTTCCAGCCCGCGGGGTCGCAGAACAAGCTGCTTGTCTTGAAATTCAAAGTCACTCAGAATTGGACCGGATGGGCACCAGGGGTTAGTTCGGCTTGGGGAGCATACCGAGACAGGCACACTTGTGCCCCCCAGGAGGCCTTCCAGCCCTGCACGCCCCGCCCAGCAGGGGGACTGCACACAGATCCTGGCCACACTGCTGGTCACATGCTATGCAGCTGGCCTTTCCTGGTCAGGCTGTGAGCCCCTCGGCAACTCTAGGTCTGAGGTGGGTTGCTGCCGGGGAGCAGCATTCAGAGAGGCAAGATCTCAAAATCCAGGGCAGGTGAGCCTGTCCCCCCAGGAGCCAGGAAGCTGGAAAGCCAGAGCGGCAGGGACAGCGACCTTGCTTTATTGAGCACCTGCTACCCGAGGGCCACTCGACTCTGTCACCGGCCCCGTTTAATTCTGACGACGACTGATGGAGTCTAGCAGGGCCATTTCCCGGATGAGAAGACAGAGTCTCAGAGAGGAGATCTCACTGTCTAGTCACACAGCAAGTAGGCAGCAGGGCCAGGAATCAGACTCAGCCTCTCCAGCACACCACCGGGCTGCCTCCCATTCCCAGGGCGCAGGTGCTGGGCAGCAATCACAGAGCTGCTGACCTGTGGCCCAGGAGCGGGACTGCGGTGGGGGTGGGGGTGGTGTATGCAGAGCTGACTGCAGCCTTTGGGCTGAGCTGTCAACTGCGGCAACTGGCTTTTCCTCCATCCGTGCTGGCCAGGTGGCCGTGGGGCAGACTGGGCTGCCCTGTACCTGCACGCTGAGCGCCCTTCCAGCTCAGGGGTGCGGGGATGCCGGGGTTTAGGTCTGGGGCTAGAGGTGGGTGATTTACGGAGCTGTGCGTTCATTTCACTTCGCTGCATTCTCCTCTAACTTCCAAAGAGATACGGACCATCAGCTGGGCCCACGGGAGGTGCTTCATCAATGGGTGGGAGACTGGAGGATGGATGGTTGGGTGGATAGAAGGATAGAAAGATGGATGGAAGGAAGGAAGGAGGGAAGGAAGGAGGGAAGGAGGGAGGAAAGGAGAGAAGGAAGGAAAGGAAGGAAGGAAGGAAGGAAGGAAGGAAGGAAGGAAGGAAGGAAGGGAAGGAAGGAAAGGAAGGAAGGAAAGGAAGGAAGGAAGGGAGGGAGGGAGGGAGGAAGGGAGGGAGGAAGGAAGGGAGGATGCTTGCAGATGTTCTCGCAATTCCCGGCTGCCCCAGCTGAAATCTGGAGACCAGGAGGCTCCAGTGGTCATGGCATTCTATGCTTTCTTCCTGCCTGCTCCCCTCCCCCCATCTTTGTGATGTGGCCCACTGCACGCGGGCTTCTTCGGATGACCCCCAGATGGAACTGCTCAGCTCCAGAAAGCAAGGGCAGTGGGGTACAGTCCTGCCAGCCAGGATGCTAAAGCCTGATAGGATGGTAGCCTGGACCCACGTGGACAGGCAGAAATGGTGAGAAGTTCTCAGACATGGAAAACGCTACCTCCCTGAGGACCAGCCCCAGTGCCCAGGGTCCAGGAAGCCTGCTCCAGGCCCCTGAGGAGCTGTGTCCACAGAGTCCCACTGCCCTTAATCCCCTCCCTGTCTTGGCCCATGTCCCCATTCCAACCTAGTGCAACCATCATGCACTGACCCTGGGCCTGGGGCTCAGCACCAGTGGTGGGGTGTGGGGGAGATGCACAGAGACCACCCACCCTCCTGGCACAGGGAGGAAGCCAGCAAGACAGGGGCTCTGGAGCCAAGCCACCTGGGTCCTAGTCCTGCCTCTGGTACTTATTGCTGTGTGAGCTTTTATGAGTTGCTTAACCTCTCTGGGTCTCGGCTTCTTGTCATAAGGTGGGGTAATAGAGCCCTGCTTCACAGAACTTGCTAGGAATGAAACTCTGATCCCCGTGCATGGAATATTTGGCACAGTGAAGTCCTCAGGCCCACCACCCCTCGGTCCTGGACGAACCAGGCCACTGGTCTCCCCGCTTAATCTGGCTCAGGTCCCAGCCCCAGTGTTCACTCACGGGGTGACCTTGGGCCAGGCCCTGCTGTTCTGTGGGCCTCAGTCTCCCATCTGCCCTGCCCCATCGAGCCGTCCATGCTTCTGTACTGAGCAGCGTGGTCATGCCCAGCTCCTCACCTCAAAGCCCTTGTCAACTTGGATGGTGGGGGGGCGGGGGTGGGGGAGAGCCAGAAACATCGGGGCCTGGCGCCTGGTCCCAAAGGTGATGGGCTCAAGGCTGCTCCTGGCTGGCCTGGCAGCAGGTGCATAACTCTGGAGCCCCAGGGCAGAGCAGGTGTATTAGTCCCTTGGAGCCGACGTACAAAGCACACCAACTGGGTGGCTTGGAACAACAGAAATGTATTATCTCCCGGGTCTGGAGGTCAGCTACCAAAATCAAGATTGTCAGGGCCATGCTCCCTCCAAAGGGTGTATCCTTCCTGGCCCCTTCCAGCGTCTGGTGGCCCCAGGTATTCCTTGGCCAGTGGCCAGCCCCTCCCGCCTCGGCCCCCGTCTTTGCGTGGCTCTCTCTGCTGCGTGTGCCCAAATTGCCTTCTTTCCTCAAGGACCTCAGTCCCTGGAGTAGAGCTCATCATGCCCGGTGTGGCCTCACCTTAACTCAGTCCCGTCTGCAGAGACTGTCTGTCTCCAAATAAGGGCCCGTTCACAGGCACTGGGGGTTAGGATTCGAACGTATCTTTGGGGGGGCCACAGTTCAACCCACAGCAGCCAGCTCCCCGAGGGTTGTCTGAGCTGTCAGCAGTGGGTGTCCCTTCTCTAGGGGTCAGCAGTTGGCTTTTGTGCAGAGCACGGAAAGAGAAGCAAGGCATCCAGCAGTGACACACAGAGACCCCCACCCTTCTCAGGCTGAGCTCAGAAGTCAGTCCCCTCAGGCACCAGAACAGGGATGCAACAGGATCGGATCTCTAGCATCAGGCATAAAATAACAAATCCCTAAATATATATTTTTAAAAGTAGGCCACAGAACTGTGCAACAGATGATTCACATTCCGTATGTATTTAATGGCGGCCTCCGCATGCACCTGTATTCCAACTGGAGCACTTGAACCACGGGGCCTAGGGCTGTGGATCCCTGGATTGTGGGGACAAACTGCCACAGCTTCTCCCAGCAGGCAGTGGAAGAAATGTTCAAGGGGCACTGGGACCGTGCATCTTTGATCCAGCCCCAACACAGGGGGAATGGCACCGTATACAGTAGGCGCTCAGCTGGCACTGGAGTCTGATGGGGCCTGGGAGGAAACAGTCTGGCCATTGCTGACTGAGGGCTGACCGGCATCCTCTCCCTTCCAGATCGTCATTCCCTTCTTCAGCCTGCTCATCAAAGACATCTACTTCCTGAACGAGGGCTGTGCCAACCGCCTCCCCAATGGACACGTCAACTTTGAGGTAGGGTCCAAGGGCTTCAGAGTGTCCAAGCCCCCAGGACAGGGGTACTGGACTAATGGGGACTCGAGGCAGAGTGCCGCAGTTTACAAGACATCGGGGCGGAATTACCAGGGTCCCCCCCCACCCCCCACTTCTCCCTTCCACAGGAGGAGACTGAGGCTCATTGATCCCCCACTGCCCACCCACAGGTGAGGCAGACTCATTTTCAGCCCTTGAAGAGCACCAGGCTAGGGGAAAGCCCCACAGACCCACAGTGACAATGGGCGAGGTGCTAGGATGGGGCACAGGGCATGGGCCAGGGGAGGCCTCCCAAAGGAGGGCCCCTGAGCCCCCGAAGAGGTGGTCAGGCGGAGTGGGCAGAGGGAAAGAAGGATTTCTACTCCCTCTGAAGACACTCACTGCCACCAGCTCGAGTGTCCCCTCCTCCAGGAAGCCCCCTTTGACCACCCAGACAGAGGGAGGCCTGTGCTCCGTGGGCTGTGCATTCCTCCCTCACAGCTCCTTAGAAACAAAGTTAGGCTGACCTCCCACATAGGACCACCCGGCACACGTGTCTTGGAGTGGCCAGTGGGCTAGGCATGGTGGGGCCAAGGCCCAGGAGCCCTGAGAGCATTGGGCAGTGAGAGCAAGCGGTCACTGAGTCAGACAAGCATGCCATGCAGCGGTGGCATGCCCCAGTCTGCAGGAAGGACGAGGCTCTTCTCCACGGGGAGGGCTGGTGCACCCTAGCGCCGGCTCCACCCAGCCTCCAACACCATGGGGCAGTCAGTCTGGGCTGGCCCCTGCTCTCTGTGGGCCTCAGTCTCTCCCTCTGTAAAGCGGGGCTTCAACCACAGCTGCCCTGCAGGTGTCCCCGGCCAGGTGGGGGGCCCCCACCCAACACCTGGGCCCTTTGGCCTGGAACTGCGTGTGCTGTGGGGTCTCACACAGACAAAGACCCCCCAGCAGATCTTCATGTGCCACAGGCAGGCCTGGCTACCCCTGAGGCAGCCTGGGCGCTGCATCCCTGGGGCAGTCTGGGCTGGAGGTGACATGGAGGAGGCTGGGCTTGGGTGAGACTGCAGGGGCCCGGGGGGGGCTTGGATTGGACTGTCCAGGAGAGCCTACACATACCAGGTGTGGGAAGCCCTGTACTGGGCCCTTCTTGAACTGGTCCTCGAAACCAAGGCCAAGGGATCAAGGGATGAAAGGCAAGACTGCAAGGTGCTCGTGTGGCCCCAGATTTGGGGCCCAGGCAGTGGGGGCTGGAGCCGGCCACCAGGACTGATCAAAGGATGCCACAGAGGATAGTTCCCACCCAGGCATGACTTGGTGCTGCTATTTATTTAAAATCTTTCAAGTTAGCACCGTTTTTTTTTTAATTTAAATAAATTTACTTAAAGTTTACTTAAATAAAATTCTACTTAAATGGATTTACTTTAATCTTCCTTAAATATATTTATGTACATTTATTTGCCTCATTCTCTAAATAAACAAACTTGTAAGGATAATCACAAAAATTAATAGAAGTAAACTAGAGTAATATTTACGTCTAGCCAAATGCACTGCCTGCTGCTAATGAGCCCTAGATGCTCTCTCCCCAGATTCCTCAGAGGGAATGAAGAGATACAGCAAACACCCACCATTCCCGTTGGGGGATTCTGTCATTTACTGCCTGGGGCTTTGCCCTGCCCTCCCCGGAGGTGGGCCTCCCTAGGAGAGACGGGTGGGGCTGGCCCACTCTTACAGGTGACCTCCAGGCACTGGGGCGCTCCCATTTTGTGTCTCTCTGACCCTGGCAGAAATTTCTGGAGCTGGCCAAGCAGGTTGGAGAGTTCATCACATGGAAACAAGTGGAGTGTCCCTTTGAACAGGACCCCAGCATCACACACTACCTGCACACCGCTCCCATCTTCAGCGAAGATGGTAAGGTGGTCCCATGGCCTCTGTCACCCCCAGATCTGGGACTCTCGGGTGGTCTCTTAGTCATATCTACGTTTGGGGCCCCTGCTCTGAGCAGGATGCACCATGCCCATGTTTCCTGGATCTGAGAGGGAGCAGAGAAGGCTGCATCCCCTGGCTGGATGGTTGCCACCCCCACGGCACAAGACAGGCGCCCAAGGAGCTGCAGGTTGGGACCTCAAGGGTCCCCAGGGCCAGGCTTCCCCTTGGACACAGCATGGGTGCTGTTGGGCATCATAAATCTAAACCATCTGTCTGACCCATTCTCCCTCATTGGTAAAGTTGGCATAATGATAAGAACTCCCCTCCCAGTGCTCACACAAGGAAGGTGGAGCCCTGGCTCACTGTGCGTCTTTCCACAGCTGGGTATGTGTACGTATATGTGTGTGTGTGTGTGTGTGTGTGTGTGTGTGTGTGTGTGTGTACGCACATATATGAGGCATCTTTTCTCCAGAGTGCCGTTCATGTCTATCCCCTCCAGTAAATCAGCATTCCCATCTGATCATTTATCAAATATGACAAATTTGCTTATGAATTTGCTAAGCAAGCTTACTCCAGGAGTCCCCTCCTTCAGGAAGAGAAAGTGCTGGAAGCAAGTGGTCATCTGGGCCCAAGTTGATCATCCCAGTGGAGGTGGTATGGTCCCATGGTTAGCTGCTTCCTGGATCCAAGACCCTCAACCCACCCTGAGAGGCCCCTGCTCAGCACAAAGGAGGCCTGGCTCCTCTTCACAGCAAGCATCTTATGAAGGGATTCCCCACTCATGCTCAGGAGAACATTTTCTGCCAAAAACAAAAACTTAGGGGAAGGATCATTTTAATGATTTTGCTTTTAAGTGTTAATACTTTCAAGTTTTTTCTTATGTTTTGGAGCCAGTAACTTTTTGGAGGGATCTCACCTGTAACTGGAAGCCCAGCAGCATGATGGATAAACCAGCCTGAGCTGTTCCCACCCCAGCAAGCTGTATGACCCTGGGCAGGTGCCTCACCCTCTCTAAGCCTCACCTGCTGCATCTATAAAGTGGGGTAATGAGAGAACCTACTTCGGAGGCCACAGTGAGAATTACTTGAGTTGGCACAGGCAAAGCCCATAGGACAGCCCTCCACTGATACTAGTTTGTGTTAGTTTCCTACTGGGCCTGTAACAAATCACCACAAACATGGTGGCTCAAAACAACTCTAATTTATCCTCTTTCCCTTATGGAGGTTATGGTCCAAAATCAGTTGCACTGGGCTGAAATCAATGTGTCAGCAGAGCTGGTTATTTTGGGAGGCTCTGAGGGGAGGGTTGTTTCCTGGCCTGTAATGACTTGTATTTATGGCCACCCATATTCGTTGGCTAGTCACCCTTCCTACACCTTCAGATCACATCATTCCAACCTCTGCTTCCACCATTACATCATCTTCCCTCTCCTGTGGCCAAGTCTCCCTCTGTCTACCTCTTAGAAGGACACTTGCAGTGGCATTTAGGGTCCTGGTGGATAATCCAGGAGAATCCCTCCATTTCCAGATCCTTAACTTAATCCCATCTGCAGAGTCCCTTTTGGCCATGGAAGGTAAATATTCACAGGCCCCAGGGATTAGGATCTGGATATCTCTGGGGACCATTATCCAACCTACAACACTGGTTACTGAGATGATTGCTAATAACAATTAGCCAATAGAGGTTGGGCAATAAAATGTGTCAAAGGCATATTAGGAGAGGGGTGGGGGTGCCTGGGGCAGGGAGAGGAGTGAGAGAAGGGCATTTCATTCCTTTCTTTAGCCAAGAGTATCTCTAGAGAGCCTACTATGTGCCAAGTGGCGATTTGGCTATGAACATACAAATCAAACCCTGGCCTTTCTGACCAGCACCTTCCAGTGACCTTTCTTCCTCCTCTCCCTCCCCGTCCCCTGAAAAAAGTGGAGAAAGCAGGAGAAGGGACCTGAGCTGGGTTGAGCCCCAACTGGGTCAGTCACAGCCCCTGACAGGAATCCTGTCCTGCCCTCAGCTCCAGGCTCCCCGTGGCAGGACCCACCTAGCAATCAGGTCAACCTTGAGGCTCCCTGAAATAAATGATAATATAGAAAGTATCAGCAAAGAAACAGAAGACATAAGGAAGAACCAAATGGAAATTATAGAACTGAAAAGTACAATAACTGAAATAAAAAACTGAGTGGATGGGCTCAGAAGCAGAATGGAGAGGACAAAGGAAAGAACTGGTGAGCTAGAAGACAGAACAATAGAAATTATACGATCTGAACAACAGAGCCTCAGGGACCTGTGAGGTCCCCAACAAAAGATCTAACACTCTTGTCATCAGAGTCTGGAAAGGAAGGGGACAAAACAGGCAGGGTTGAAAAAACTCATCCAAGAAGTAATGGCTGGAAAGTCCCCAGATTTGGAAAAGGTATAAACCTAGAGCTTCAAGAAGCTGAGTGAATCCCAAAGAGAATAAATCAAAAGAAACCCACACCAAGATACATCATAGTCAAACTTCTGAAAACCAAAGAAAAAGAAACAAATTTTAAAAGCACGGAGAGAAAAATGACACTTTACCTACAGGGTCAAAACTATTTGGATGACGTTAGATTTCTCATCAGAAACTACGATGGCCAGAGGCAGTGGCATAGTTTACAAGTGCTTCAAGAAAATAACTGCCAACCCAGAATTCCATATCCAGTGAAACTATCCCTCAGGAATTTACTACAGATAAATCAAAATGGAATTCTAAACACTGTTCAGATAGCTCACAGGAAGCTGGTTCTTTGAAAAGAACTGTAAAATTGCCATCCTCCAGCAAAGAACCTCTCGACAAAGAAAATGTAGAAGACAGAAATTGCTAATATCAAGACTGAAATGGAGAATATCACCACAGACTCTGCCAACATTGAAGAGCTAGTAAGGAAATAATATGAACAACTCTACACACATTAATTTGACATGTTGGATGGAATGGACCAATTCCTTAAAAAACACAAACTACCACAAACTCAACACAAAGATCAGCTGAATAGCCCTATGACCATTAAGGAAATCTCATTTGTAATTCTAAAACAGCCCAGAAATGAAATCTTTGACTTCAGATGGTTACACTAGAGAATTCTATTAAACATTGAGGAAGACTTAATACAAATCCTGCACAATCTTTTTCAAAAAACAGAAGAGGAGAGGACTTCCCAGTTCATTTTATGAAGCCAGTATTGCCCTGATACCAAAACCAGACAAAGACAGTAAAGAAAAAGAGAGTAAAGACCAAGATCCCTTGTGAATATAGATGCAAAAATTTCTTAACAAAATTTAGCAAATAGAATTTGGCAATACCAAAAAATAATTACATACCATTACCAAATGAGTTTATTCCAGAGATACAAGGCTGTTCAATATTTGAAAATCAATCAGTGTGATCTATCATATTAACAAGCTAAAGGAGAAAAGTCACTTGATTATATCAATTGATACAGGAAAAGCATTTGACAAATTTCAACATACAGGCATGGGAAAAACTCTCAGAAAAATAATAGAGGGGAATTTATCAACTTAATAAATTGCATCTACAAAAACTTTTCCACTAATATAATGTTTAATGGTGAAAGACTGAATGCTTTCTCACTAAGAGCAGTAACAAGGCAAGAATATCTACTCTCACCATTTTTATTCAAGATAGTAATGGAGATCTAGTCCATGCAATAAGGCAAGAAAAGAAAATACAGATCAGAAAGGAAGACTTAACATTGTCCCTATTTGCGAAAATGTAAAAAGTCTCAAAGAATCTGCAAAACTCCTAGAATTAAGTGGTTAAGCACAAGTTGAAGAATACAAGATAAAGATGCAAAAATCTATTATATTTCTATGTGCTAACAATGAATATGTGGACACTGAAATTAAAAATACAATCCCATCACTCAGGATAGTCACTCAAAAACATGAAATACTTCGGTGTAAATCTAACAAAATATGTTCAAGGTTCGTATGCCAAAAACTGTTGATGACAGAAATCAAAGAAGATCTAAATAAACGGAGAGACAGGATGTTCATGAATGGAAAGGCTCACATAGCAAAGATACTAATTCTCCTCCCCAAATTTAAGTACAGGTTTAATGCAATTCCTATCAAAATCTCAACAGGACTTTTTTGCGGATAAAGGCACAATTGATCTAAAATGTATATGAAAAGACAAAGGAACTAGAAGAGCTGAAACAATTTTGAAAAAGGATAAGAGGGGAGGGATCACTCTACCAATAGTGAAGCTGATATAATACAGCTATGCTCCTCAAGGCCATGTAGTATTTGTGAGACAGATACATGGATCAATGCGACAGAATGAGGAACCCAAGAATAGACCCATGCAGATGTGCCCGATGATTGACAACAGAGAGAAAGCAATACAACAGAGGAAAGACAGATCTTGCCAAAATGGTGATGGTGCATTTGAACACCCATAAGCCAAAAAGTGAGCCTCGACCTCAACCTTACACCTTCTACAAAAAAATTAACTCCAAATGAATCACAGACCCGAATGCAAAATGTAAAACTATACAACTTTCAGGAAGAATAAAAACAACAGCAAATCTTCGGGATGTAGAACTACTTAGAGTTTCTCATAAAACTAAATATGCAACTACCGTCTGACTCAGCAATTGTGCTCTCAGGCATTTATTTGTCCCAGAGAAACAAACCCTCATGTTCGCACAAAAACCCGCACTCCAATGTTTATAGCAGCTTGATTTGTTGTAGCCAGACACTGGAAACAGGGCAGATATCCTCCAGTGGCTGAGTGGCTAAAGACAGACTGTGGTATATCCGTGCTGTGGAATACTGTACAGCAGGAAAAGGGAGTGAAGGATGGATACACACTACAGCTTTGATGAACTCCGGAGAATTACTCCCAGTGAAGAACCCGTCCCAAATGTTACGTACTGATCCCACTCATATCACACTCACAGAATGACAAAATCTGGACATGGAGAACCTATTAGTGGTGGCCAGGGGCTAAGAAGGGGGTGGGATGGAGGGAAGTGGCTGGTCCTTACGAGGGCAGCATGAGGGATCCGGGTGGTAATGTGGATGTTCTGTGTCCCGATGGGTGCCGATGTCATCATCCCGCTGGTGGTCCTGTGCTATAATTTTGCAAGTGCTTCCCATGGGGAGAAACTAGGGAAAGGGTACACTGACCTCTCTGTATTAATCGGTTCATAGGACTGCATGGGAGTCTACAGATTCCCTTGCAGCTAGTTTAATTTAGGAACCAAAAGCAGGTCAGACTCCGGTGTAGAACAGGTTATTATCACCAACCATAACTGTGTAATTTCACCTTGCTTCCTGACTAGGTCTTTATTTGGCTTCTTATGAAAGTGAGAGCCCAGAGAACCAAACAGAAAAAGAGAGGTGGAAATCTCTAAGGTGAGTCTGTGAGCCAAGACAGAAGTGGGGACAGGGTGGGGGGGGGGGGGGGGGGGGCGGGGGAGAGGTATGGGTGCTTAGGGCCAGGCCAGGGCCCAGGGGCTTTGTGGATACCCAGGTCCCCCGGGGAGGGGGGCAGGTCAGGCCAGGCTCTTAGGGGTGGCGGCAGAACTCAGGCGCTGCGGTGGGAGGGAGGCTGGGATTGCAAACCGTCCCCCAATATCCATGGCTGGAGGCTGCCCCTGTGGGCTGTCAAGATGTGTGTCCAGGTCCAGGACCCCCCCCCGCCCCGGTTCATATTCTTATGCCAGAAAGTGAGGCAGCCCCCCTCCTGCTTGTTCAGCCTACAAATGCAGCCAAGTGGAGGTTCGTGGACCCACAGCAGTGGGCTCTGACAACTGAGCCAAGAGGGTTGTACAGAGCCCCTCCGGGGCGGGAGTTGCCTGCCTAGCAGGTGACACGCCGGATGGAAGTATAATCACCACCCCGAACATGTTTAAATCTGCAGATCTTCTATTTTGGGGAAGACGTGAGAAGCTGGAGGAGGAGGAAGGAGGAAGTCAGCAGAAGCCTTCCACAGCCCTGCCTTAGCCGGCCCGGCAGAAAATAAGAGGTGTTGGCACCTCACCGCTTTGCAAACCGTGACCCCACGGCCTGGCGCCCGCCCCAGCAGCCACACGGCCCGGGAGACCTTTCTCCACCTTCTGTGGAACTTCAGCTCCGGGGAAGGGCCCAGGGCCTCCTGACGTGCGGGTAGCACGTGCCTCGGGGGCTCTGCCTTCAGGACGGTGGGGGTCACATTGCTGGCCAGTCGGTCCATCCTCAGCAAGGACGTGGCACCGCCCCCAGAGCGTTGGGTGACTGCGGTGTCACTCTGTCCCTGGGTGATGAGCAGCACTGAGGCTGACACCCCGTCTGTCCCCAGGTGGCCTGGGAGCACCCACATCTCCAGCAGGCACCACCAGCGGCCCCTGTCGTTCTGCTGATGGACCCTACCCTGCACCCCCCAACCCTGGGATGGGCTGGTTTCTGCAGCCCAGTTCACCCCCTTTCCGGATCCTGCTGGTATCAGGGGACAGCTTTCTGGTGACAGCTGTGACGCAGGTCACAGGACAAATTTGAGTCACAAGAATGACAACATGTACAGGACACTGTAAACTTTAGAGTTGGTATAAACACGTGCGTACACCCTGCGTAGCCACGTCCACACTGCTTCTCACTCGTGGGCCTGGGAGGCGCTTCTGTTGGGAGGCGGGGGATGCTGTGGCCTCGGGTCCAGAGAGGGCCATGGTGGCCATTTCCACTCCATAGAGCCCATGTTGGGCTGACAGGGCCCGGCACATGGACACCCACAGCCCTGCATGTGGCCAGACACGTCTCTTCTTGGGGTGGGGTGGGGTTGAGGAGCCCCATTGTGGGTTCCCCCTTGGGTCCCCCCACCCCCAGACCCTCACACACTGAGTCAAGTTTCTGTGCCAGGGAGGAGATGGGCCATGGAGCTGCTGAACCCCCACCCGGCACGTGACCAGGTCCCCCAGCCAGGAAGGCAGGGAGTACGATGTGCACCCCCATATCCTCTCCCAGTCAGGGCCTGCTGGGCAGAGTGGGGGGGGTGTGTTGGGGTGCACTAACCCACGCTGGCCAGCGCCTAGGCCCCCCCTCAGTGCCAGACATGGCTGTCCTGGTGGCATGGACTTGGGTCCCCTCCGAGCGATAGACAAAGAGCAGCCAACACATCCTGGTGCCACCTCGGACTCGGGGAATTCTGCTCAGCAAACCCAGAATCTCGGCAAGGCCCCGGAAGGCATGAGAACGTTCTTTGCCCAGACCAGCCCAACCCCTTTGCATCTGAGACCCCAGAGCGGGGGGATAGGCACTGGACTCCAGCCAGCCTCAGGATCCCGCCCTGCCCTACACCACACCCAGCTCCTGCTGGGGCCCCACGAGCTGCCTAGAAGCCCCTCCTCATCGCATCCCTCGCTCCCTGGCATCCCTTGGGCAACATTGGGCAACATTATGACAGGACCCTCTGCAGACAGCAGCGGCCACTGTCCCCGCCTCCTGGTCACCCTGAGTACGGCCCGTCCGAGGCGGGGAGCAAGGTCACAGGGGTCCGCGGTCTTGGAGACACATGACGGCCAGTCCGGGGCCGATGCCGATGGAGCTCAGGGAGGCCTGCTCAGAGTCCAGTGTCCACCAGAGGATGCTGTCTCCTACCCCAGCCCCAGGGAGACAGGACACTCCAGAGCAGGCTCCCCACTCACCCCCAAGGGCCCAGCTTTGCCACTCACTTGGCTCCATGTCCATCTCCCGATTTCCAAGCGACCTGGTGCAGGAAACCCCAGGACCCGAGAGGAAACCCCAGAGTGCTAAGCTTTGGGAGGGACCCGGGGGGCAGCAGGCCACGGTGACTCCCCTGCCTCCTACAATCCCTCACCCAGGCCCAGGGTACCAGCTCATCCTCCAAAGCCAAGCCCCCAAATGCCCCCCCCAACAGCCATGCCTCCCTATAGCCAAGGCCCAGCTCAGTCCCTGCTCTCTCCCGCTCAGAGATGGCAGCAACCTCCCCCCAGGCTGTGGGGAGCATGAGGCAAGCCTATTGGAGAGAGCAGAACAGCACCCACAGTCGCAGCTCCAGTGGCAAATCAAGCTTGTCGGCACCCATAGAGGGAGCTGCGGGCCCTACCGCCCCCAGGCTTGGGGCCCCAAGGCAAAAGAAACACTGTTCCCTGTTTCCTGCTTCTGTGACCTTGTACATGCTGTTCCCACTGCCTGGCATGCTGTTTCCCACCTTGTCAGGCCAGTCACAAGTGCAGCACCCCCCCACCACCATCTCCATGCCCGCTCCCTCCAGCCCCTCAGTGGCTCAGTGCAGAATGGGGGTGGGGAGGATGGCAGGGGAAGGCTGGGACTCACCCCCCCGCTGGGCAGGTGAGAGGGAGGCACCCCGTGATGAGCCCCACAGAAAAGGCAGGGCCCGAAGGGGCTCCGGCTGAGTGTGTTTGTGTCTCTGGTACACCCAGGGGGGCCCTTGAACCTGCTCTCTGCTTCTCTGAGCAGTTGCTGGGTCGAGGCCCCAGGGCAGCCCAGAGGAGGGCCTTCTCTCGGACACCTGCCTGGCGGCCCCCTAGGTGGAAATCACGGTCGCCCTTGGCCAGGTGCAGCCTCAGAGCCCCAACAGGAATGGTGCCCTGCTGATGGCCACATCCAGCACGCATGGCCCTTCCCTACAGAAGCCCCTTTACCCTCCTGCTGACCTGACCTCAGTCCTTGCAGCTGGGTTCAATGACAGGGGGCGGGGGGGCGCCCTACAGCTGTAGGGGGACGGTCAGCAGCCTAGGTGGTGCCCAAGGCTGATGCCCGGGAGGCTCAGCCCAAGGCCAGGAGACATGGGCCCCCGACACACAGCCCAGCTCAGCCATGAGGCAGGCATCGGGGCCTTGGGGCTCCAAGGGCAGCCAGCAACCCCACTGTGCCCAGGAGGCCAAGGAGAGGGCCTGGCTGTGGTCTCTTCTCATGCTTTTGCTCCAAACCCTCCAGAGAGGGAAAAGTTGGGTGGGGAGGGGGGACAAGAAGACATCCCAGACCAGGGTTTGCTTCAGAGGCCCCCGGGCCTGGCTGGGATTCCGAATCAATCCATTCTCCCGTGGGTGATGCATGGGTCTGCCGAAACCCCTGACCACACATGGCTGTATCACTGGAGGCGCACCCCCACCATCCCCAGCCCCCCACAGTTCCCGAGGTGAGGGCGTGTCCATTACAACCAGAGATTTATCCTGAGAATCTAGCCACATCCAGGCCTCTGCAGAAGCCTGGTTATCCCAGCTAGCAGCCCTCCAGGGTAGGACCCCGAGGACCTCGGGGGGGGAGGGGGTCTCAAAGGTGTGGCCAAAACTGTCCCAGAGGATGAAGTAACAGACAACAACCCCCTTCCCTAACAACTCAGGAACAGATGGCCACCAGCATGGCCCCTGGTGCCTCGGACCTCTCAGGCGGGCATCAGACCTCGGACCACTGCTTCCCCCAGCGCTGCAGAGCTCAGATGAGGCAGCTGAGGAATGGGCACCCCCTAAGCAATGCCCCAGGCTCTAACTTTCAACAGCTGACACACCCACTGAGGCGCCAAGGGGGCAAGAAGCTGAGTAATTCAGCCCAGAACTGTAGTCAGGGAGTGCTTCGGCTAGAAGCGCCTTTGTACCCTGAAACTGTCATATGTGCCGAGCTCCAAGCCTGGAACTTTACACGCAGCCTCACAAACCCCACATCACTGTCCCATTTGGTGAGTGACAAAACAAGAGACTCAGAAAGGCAAAGCCACTGGCCAAGGACACTCGGCTTACGGGGATGACGCCTGCACCTACCAGAATCCACCAGCCCCTGTAGCTCTGCTCCTGAGGGTGTGGAGAAGCCAGGGGGACAAGGGGGCTCCAGCTAGCCTCCTGGTCTTGCAGCAAACACAGACACGGTGACACGCATCTCTCCTCCACTCCTGCCCCTGCTTTTTGCCAAAGGGCTGTGCCCCCGGTGGCCCTGGTGTTTCAGGACTGCCCTGCGGGGTCTCAAACATACTCAGGACAAAACCTCCTGCTGCCTCCAGAAGACAGAGGACAGCAAGCCTCACCCCCATCATGCCACCCCGTATCACCAACATGGATGCTCCGAGGTTCCTGTCCTGCAGCCTCGCATCTTCGCTGAAAACGGCCCCATTTCCACTCGCCAGGACTCCTCCCTGAGTCCTGGGGTCCTGGGCCAGGAGACCAGAGCCAATAGGGAGACCTGGAAACCCATGCAAACATACGTCTGAGCCAAAACTGTGCCCTTGCCCATGGCTGAGCGGGGTGCCTGACGCCATCATCCTGTGGCGTCCGACCCTGGGCCTCCAGGCAGGACCAGAGAGGTGGGAAGATTCACTGCAGATGAAGAGGCCTGAGGCATGAGCTAGAACCCTCACTACTGACCAGTGGGCCTTCGCCAAGGGGACGAACTTAAGAGAACAACAGTTCAGCAAAGAGGAGGCAGCCGAAATCCAGAATGTCTGGGGTGGAGAGCAATGGCAGGAAAGACCAGCAGAGGCCAGATGGTGAAAGACCCCAGAGGGCAGACCAAGGAGATTGAGGTTTATACCGCAGGCTCTGGGAGCGGGGCAGGGGGGCAAGCACTGAAGAATTTTAGGGAGGGATGTCATGGTTAATCTGATGTGTCAATTCAACAAAGCCATAGGTTGCCCAGATATTTGGGCAAACATTATTCCGAGTGTGTCTGTGAGGGTGTTTCTGGATGAGATTTCCATTTGAGTCAGTAGACTGAGGAACATAGATTGCCCTCCCCAACGTGGGTGGGCCTCATCCCATCAGTTGGAGACCTGAAGAGAACAAAAGGTGGAGGAAGGGAGAATATTCTCTCTGCCTGTCTTCCTCATTTGCATTGGAATTTACACCATTGGTTCTCCAATAATCTTGCACTCAGCAGATCTTGGAACTTCTCAGCCTTCATAATTATGTGAGCTAATTCCTTATACTAAATCTGTCTATCCATCACCTACCTCTCCTTCGGTTCCTCTGGAGAACCCAGACTAATACAAGGTGGAACATGGCCAGTTTTAGAAAGATCTCTTTGATACCTTTTAACGCAATAATTCTACTTTTGTAATTTATCCCAAGGGGAAAAAAATTCAAGATTAGCATGGTATTTGCATAACAGAAAAGTAACGAATGGTTACGTTATTCCTGTTCCTAAGGCAGAGAGCAGGGGGATTTAGCTCCCCA